GTCATTACCTAGTACCAGAGGTGGAGGGAGGGAGGGAGAGAAAGGAAAGGAAAGAGAAGGGAGTGTGAAGCTAATGGAGCCCTAGGGCGGGACTGATATTCTCTCGGCTATTTGGTCTTTGACTTCCTCCTAAACGGATGTTCCTGCTCAGCCTGTGGTCAGAGCCACCACAGACACCCTCCTGGAGGAAGTCGTCCTGCCCACCTCTGACAGAGACTAGCTTGGAAGTACCTGCTTCTGTGCCGGGCTCAGCTGGACGGGCATACTGCGTCCAGGCCGTTCACAGACAAAGAAGAGTCCCACCCATAGGCCCCAGCCCTTGCATAGGTTCACGGAGTCACATGTCACAGGCCCGTCAGCCATTTGTCCCAGGTTTCTGAGACCTAACAACGTGCCCAACACGTATGCTTTGGTCATCCATGGCCTAACATACAATGAAGGTGAAGGATTTTATTGCCTGTGATTCCACAGGTAATGACTACTGGTGCTTGCAGTGATCCCAGAGTGAGCAAACACGTTTGACTGCCCAAAATGGAAAGGTCTAGTAGGCTGGTGTGACTCGGTGGCAGGACACTCGCCTACACGGGCACGGCCCTGGACCAAAGGAAAAAGAGCAGCTCAATTATACAATTATATGTAGTACACGATACAAGGAACAACCACGTTGTAGGTTTATGAATTTACTACAGCCCACTTTTCATCATTGTTGTGCAGTATGTGCCCAAAGGAAAGAAAAGTTCAATATATGCATAGCTGCTCATGAGAGTGCAGAATGCCAGAGCTCGGGAGGTGGGGGAAGGAGACACGCTGCATATTAAAGGCCAGCCAAGTCGGTAGACGAGATTCCCAGCCAACTACATGGTGACTGAGACCTAGTCTCAAAACAACAAAACAAAAAAGCACACACACACACAAAAAATACCCAAGAAAGCAAACCAACAAAAAACAACCCCCACCCCCGCAAAACCAGTACCGGTGATATGTCTCCCAAGCTTGATGACCCAAGTTCTGTCCCCAGATCCTCTGTGATGGGTGAGAACAGACCTCAACACGTTGCCCTCTAATCTGACGTGATACCACCTGCCTTTCAATGGACAGCTTGTCAGGAGTGTCCTCTCTGTCATGGTCACAGTGGTCTTTTTCAGACCTGGTGTCTGAACAGTGGCAGTTTGCTAGGCGAAGGGGGCCCACGTGGGCACGTGCACAACCACACACAGCCACACACACACACGCACACACACACACACACACACACACACACACACAGAGATCAATGAATAACTTTTGAAAAGTTTCTTCTGATCTCAGCGGTCACACTCAGGAGGCAGAAGCAGGAGGATCTGAGTTTGAGGCCAGTCTGATCTGCATAGCAAGTTCCAGGTCAGCGAGGGAGACTCTGCCTCTAGAAGCAAAACAAAACCCCCTACACACTGTTTTATGCCAGTAAGCAGCAGCCTCATAGGTTGGGTGTTTATTGTGTCTGTTGGTTACAGGGAGACCTAGATCGATGAGCCAGTAGCATCCAGTCTTGTGTACGTGTACTCTTGCATTCTCTGACACTCACATAAAGAGAATTACTCAGGATGCACTCCACAGGTTCCATCTCCATCCTTATCAGTGCCTGACTCTATTTTGAAAAATTCTGACTCACCAGTTAAAGATAGTGCAGTTGCTTAAGAGAAAACCAGCTGCGTTACTTGTTTTCTGGCTGTGTCTCCTCCATGTTTGCCTTCCCTCCCTACCAAACTGCAGCCATTCACAGATGCTAGGTCAGAAGAAGGCGGCTCTGATGTGTTGGAAGCTGATTCTGAGAACTTCAGTCTTTAAGCAGTATCTGGGTATGGAGGGTGTAGCTCAGTTGGTAGATTGCTTACCCAGCAAGCACAGTCCCCAGGGTTTGATCCTTTGAACCCCATAAAACTGGGTGTAGTCTCTCAGGTTTGTATTTCCAGCACTCGAGAGGTGGAGGCAGGAGAGTCAGAAGCTAAATGTTATCAGAAGCCACATAGGGAGTTTGTGGGCTTTCGTCTCAACGAAAAGAAAACAATGAAATGTTTTGGTCAGTGGCGTAGAAAGACATTCGTGTGAAACCTATGTAAAGGAAAAAGGATTTCTCAGTGTGGAAGTAAGTGCAGGTCGGACATGGCGCACACCTTTAGTCCCAGTCATTGGGAGGCAGGAGCAGGTGGGTCTCTGTGAGCTCAAGGCCAGCCTGATCTGCACAGTGGGTTCCAGGCCAGCCAGGGTTATCAAGTGAGACCCGGAGTCTAAGGAAAGGAGGTGCAATTTGAGCCTTGATTTCTAATGACTGTCTTCAAAGGGGTTGGCAGAAGTCGGCTGTGGTCATGGTTGTAATCCCAGGACATGGAGGTAAAGACCAGAGGATCAGGAGCTCAAGGCCAGCCTATTCTATATGAGAAAAAAAATTACTTCTTTTTGTTTCATTTTGTTTTGTTTTGGGGGGACAGGGTTTCTCTGTGTAGTTCTGGCTGTCCCGGAACTCACTCTGTAGACCAGGCTGGCCTTGAACTCAGAGGTCTGCCTCCAGAGTGGGATTAAAGGTGTGCAGCACCTCCGACCACTGAAAATCCATTTCTACCAAGGAATCCTAGGTGGCTGCCGTGTGATTAGGGTCACAGTGTCTAAGCATGAACTCTCTGTGTTCATTCTGGCTTAGCTTCATGACTTTGAGCAAGCTACATAATTTCTGGGGGGAGGAGCAGCTGTCCACCTCGGGGAGACTGTCTTAATTTCTTTCCCAGTGCCTGTGCTAAAACTCTGACCGAAGCAACTGAAGGGAGGAAGGGTTGACTGCAGCTCTCAGCTCCAGGTTGAAGCCCATCCCAGCAGTAAGTCAAGCGGCCTCAGGGAGCGACCACGTACGTCTGTGAGCAGAAGAGAGCAATGAGTGTGTGCATGCCAGTTCTTGTCTTCTCCCGTCTTCTTCAGTCCAGGCCTAGGGGGTGGTGCCATCCGCTGGGAGCGGGGCTTCTCACTGCAACAGAAGCAAGAGGCCCACCTCCCAAGATTGTAGGTTTTGTCAAGTCGATAGCACTAACCATCAGGAAAACCCACTTTACAAGGTCGCTGTGAGCACTAAGTGAAACAGCTCTGAGAAGTACCTAGGCCATAATTCCTCCCCTATAAGTGATTGTGAAACACCATATTAAGAAAGTAAAATGAGAAGGTAATTTTTTTTTTTTTTGCTGTCATTTGTTAAAGCAGTCATTACAAAGTCAGCATGTAAATAGATCAGTGGCACCCAAGGGATAAGTAGAGGGCTTTGTAAAAATTAGTATGTAGTCAAACTTTTCTTTGGGCCACCAACTTACAAATAACCACATGGAGACTTATTATTAACTGTGGAAGCTCTGCCTTAGCTTAGGCTTGTCCCACTAGCTCTCATACCTTTAATTAACCCTCATTTTTGTTAATCTATCTTCTACCACATGGCTTTTACCTCTCTTCAATTTTAAAAATTTTTTTCTTTTTATTAATTTTTTTGAGCTCTACATATTTCTTTGTTCCCCTCCCTGCCTCCCCCCTCCCCTTCAACCCTCTCTCAAGGTCCCCATGCTCCCAATTTACTCAGGAGATCTTGTCTTTTTCTACTTTCCATGTAGATTAGATCTATGTATGTCTCTCTTAGAGTCCTCATTGTTGTCTATGTTCTCTGGGATTGTGATTTATGAGCTGGTTTTCATTGCTTTATCTTTAAAAAACAATTTATGAGTGAGTACATGTGATAATTGTTTTTCTGGGTCTGAGTTACCTCATTTAATGTTTTCTAGCTCCATCCGTTTGCCTGCAAAATTCAAGATGTCGTTATTTCTTTCTGCTGTGTAGTACTCCATTGTGTAAATGTACCACATTTTCCTTATCCATTCTTGGGTCGAGGGGCATTTAGGTTGTTTCCAGGTTCTGACTATGACAAATAATGCTGCTATGAACATAGTTGAGCACATGTCCTTTTGGCACGGTTGAGCATCTTTTGGATATATACCCAAAAGTGATATTACTGGGTCTTGAGGAAGGTTGTTTCCTAATTTTCTGAGAAATTGCCACACTGACATTCAAAGGGGTTGTACCAGCTTGCATTACCACCAGCAATACAGAAGTGTTCCCTTTACCCCACATCCTCTCCAGCATAAGTTGTCATCAGTGTTTTTGATCTTGGCCATTCTTATAGGTGTATGATGGAGTCTCAGAGTTGTTTTGATTTGCATTTCTCTGATGACTAAGGATGTTGAACATTTCCTTAAGTGTTTTTCAGCCATTTTAGATTACTCTGTTAAGAGTTCTCTGTTTAGGTCTGTACTCCATTTTTTTAATTGGATTATTTGTTCTTTTGATGGCCAATTTCTTAAGTTCTTTGTATATTTTGGAGAACAGACCTCTGTCTGATGTGGTGTTAGTGAAGATCTTTTCCCATTCTGTAGGCTGTTGTTTTGTCTTGTTGACCATGTCCTTTGCTTTACAGAAGCTTTTCAGTTTCAGGATACCCATTTATTAATTGTTTCTCTCAGTGTCTGTGCTGCAGGGGTTATATTTAGGAAGTGGTCTCCTATGCCAATGCATTCAAGTGTACTTCCCACTTTCTCTTCTATAAGGTTCGGTGTGGCTGGCTTTATGTTGAGGTCTTTGATCCATTTGGACTTGAGTTTTGTGCATGGTGATAGATATGGGACTATTTTCATTCTTCTAATATGAAACAGGAGTGTGACAAGAAATGAATCATGTTTCATAGATGACAGATCTGAACAGAAACACCTAGGAAATAGTGGTCACGCTCATGTAATGAGAAGAGAGAGTTGGAACTCTAACTCTTCTTGTATGCTTGTGTCTTGTGTACATTGTCTCCAAAAGAGCTTGGTCTTGGAGATGGAGAGATGGCTCAGCAGTTAAGAGCACCAGCCATTCATCCAAAGGACCTGTGTTCAATTCCCAGCACCACATAGCAGCTCACAGCTGTCTGTAACTCTAGTTCCAGGGGATCTGAATCTGAGTCCTCACACACACATGCAGGCAAAACCCCAATGCTGGTAAAAAAAAAAATAAATCTTAAGAAATAAAAGAGTTTGGTCTTTTAATGGTGGGCAGGGAAAGTGAACCATGATGTCAGACCGTCTCAGTCAGCCTCAGAAACTACCCTTTGTGAGAACTGTCCTGTGGGAAACAGAGGAACAGACTGGGGCGGATCCTGAGGAAGGTGTGACTGCCCTGTGCCTGTTGTTAAGAGGAAAAACTATCTCCTGGATCTGTCATGAAGGCCCGTGGGCTTTGGTTTACTTCCGTTATCTTCTTTTATCCAGCCAGAGTCCCCATCTTGCTTTTGTTTTGTTGTAGTTGTTGTTTTTATACTGCTGGAACAACATGTCCTGTCAGAACCAACTCAAGGGAGGAAGGGTGGTGACTGCTGCGGCTGCCGAGCTTCCTTTCTTCAGGTCCAGAGTCTGGGATCCCAACCGGGGATGGTGCCGCCCATAGTGGGCAGGTGGTTAATTAACATAATCAAGACAATTCCATTTCAGCCTGCCCAAAGGCCTATCTCCCAGATGATTGCCCGTTCTGTCAAACTGACAACAACTGTCACTGTGCCTTTTGTTTGGGCTTCCTTTCGAAACCCTTGGAGTTCCCAGGACTTCATATTCTGCTCAAGAGAAGCACCACAGGATACAGGCCTATGTCAATTAACACACCATCTTCCCTGTGCCTCATGATTGGCTTGAAGGAGCAAATAATGGAAACCAACTGAGTGGAAGTCGCTGCAATGAGGCTCAGCCCCACCACCATATTCTCAACCCTTGTTATTCTTGACTAGGAAACTTTGATTTGTCTGTACTGATGGTGAAACAAGGGCCTGGTGTTTGCACCTACTCCTCCACCGAATGAGGCCCCCAGTAACTGAACTTGAAACTTGCTGGCAGGAGCAGCTTTTGCAGTCTTGCTTCCACGTGGAGCCTGAGAATGCAGCAGCAGGTGAAAGGGAGCAGCCATCTGCACAGGAGCCCTGATATGCAGTCAGTGTGCGCTTGCATGCTCCAGATCCAAGCTTGACGGAAGCAGCAGAACCGTTGCAAGTGTGAGGCCAGCGTGGGCTACACAGAAAGACTGTTCCTAAGAGAGCTGGGGCTACTACTCAGTTGGCTGAGTGCTTGCTTAACATCCATGAAGCTGGGTTCTACTCCTAGTGCTACATAAATACAGTAATGTATGCCTGCAATCCCAGGACTCAGGAAGTGGAGGCAGTAGGATCATCTTAACCTCCATAGCAACTTTCAGTCTCACCTGTCTCAAAACAAAACAAAACAAAAATCAGTACAACCTTTACTTACTTTCTGGTCTAGTAATCCCAGCATTCCTGCCACCTCTGGTCTGGCCCCCTTCAAATTGTGTGTTTTGTTTGCTTTGCTTTCTGACATGGTCTCCCTGTGTAGCCCAGGCTGACCTTGAACTCGCAGCAATAGCGCTTCTGCCTCCCAAAGAGCTAACATTACAGGTGGCCACCACCACACCCAGCTTCCAAATAATGACTTTGTCTGTTAGTGTGTTATCTTCTCGGTAGGGACGGGATGTACCAGGTTAAAGGAACTGCTATAAATAGGGCCTTTCCTGTGTGGTGGCGCGGTAGGGAGGGGATGCCTTCTGCAGCCCTGTGTCAGCATCTAGTGAGCCTGTGCTCTAGCTGCGAACTCCATGCCTGGCCCTTGGGAGGACAGGATGAGTAGAGAGGTCTGGAGGTGAGTGTTCCCTCCTGCAGCCTGTCGCCCTGTGCTGAGCCAGTCTGTCTCCAGGGGACCCATTCCGGACGGTAGAGCTAGCTCAGGAGAGCAGAGTGTTCGAGATGGTTCCTTCTATAGCTCCTGGAAACAAAACCCAGGATTTCTGCAGTGTTGAACCCACAGGCGACCTGTCAGCACTGAGGCCCCAGCACTTCATCCCCTGCCGTCCCCTGCCCAAGTCTTCCTAGGTGAGCTGTGACTCTGTGGTCGCCTGTGAGGACAAAGCGCTCTTGTGTATTTCCTCTGCAGCTCAGAGGGCAGAGCAGAGCCCCCCCCCCCTCTGGACCCACAGAGCCTGTTCGAGCTCCCCAGGAGACCTCAGAGAGGAGTCAACATTTGCCCGAAGATCCTGAAGATATTCAAGGTCTTTGGGGGAGGTTCAAAGGCATAGCTGGGAAAAGGGTGTTTGAGGGCTAGCTAAGTCTAGAACAGTGAAGCTGGGAGCAGACTCCAGGCTGAGGGAGACGTGAGGTAGAAAATGGCCGGGTGATCTTGGGGCTGTGTTTTCACAGTGGTGTTTGTGATGAGAAGTGATTTTAACAACTGGGTGAGTCTTGAAGATGATGTCACAAAGCAGGGGTTAGAGGTGCAGATATTATTGGTCAGCAGACCAGTCTGGTCACCTTCTTCCCTGGGCGCAGTCCTGAGTGCCAGTCTTCATGTGCTACATAGCAGTTTGAGGCCAGCCTGGGCTATGTGAGATCATGTTTCTAAACAGGGTGGGAGGAGAGGAAAGGAAAAGATAATTGAGGCAGAGAACACATGTGTGGTGCCCAGGAAACCCTGCATCCAATCCCTGGTAGCCACCCCACGCTGAGAACTACAGAATTCCCGTGTGCTCGGGTGTATGATCAGTGTTTACCTCAGTGTTCATTAAAATTTTTAACTAAAATAACCCATTATGAACTGTATTAGTTACTCTTCTGTGGCTGTGATAAACACTATGACCAAAGCTGCTTGGTAGGGAAGGGTTTATTCATCTTATACTTCCAGATGACAGATTACCAATGAGAGGCATCAGGACAGGAACCTGGAGGCAGGAACTGAAGCAGAGGCCATGGAGGGTGCTGCGTACTGGTTCGCTCCCCTGCCTGGCTTCCTCTGCTTTGTTTTATACAACTCAACACCACCTGTCCAGGATATCACCACCCACCATGGGCTGGGCCCTCCCACATCAATTATTAATCAAGAAAATGCCCTACAGGCGTGCCTACTGAACAAATTTTTGTTAGCTTTTAGTTTTTAGACAGGGTTTCTCTGGAGCCCTGGCTGTCCTGAAACTCACTTTGAAGACCAAGCTGGCCTCAAACTCAGAAATCTGCCTGCTTCTGCCTCCTGAGTGCTGGGGGATTTTAATAAAGTCTTTTTTCAGTTGAGGTTCCCTCATATCTAATGACTAGCTTGTGTCAGATGACAGAAAATCTAGCCAGCACAAGTGCGGACAATGCTCACGCGGTCTCTACCACTAGGCTTAAGAAGGAGACGTCTGGGCCTGTGATGGATGATGGCTCAGCAGGCACAGGCACTTGGCGCCAGGTCTGATGGCCTGAATCTGACCTCCTGACCCACCAGCTGCTCGGAGAGAATAGACCCACACACGCACACGGCATACCCACTAAATAAATAAAGGTAACTTTCAAAACGAGCCATTCTCTCTCCTCACTATCCATGCCCAAAGCCTTGCCTCACCCCCCAGAACCACTGACTCTCCAGGATTTGCTACTCGCGTCTTCCTCTGTGGCTTTTCTAAATTTGGATAAATCCCTGGAGACGCAGAGTTTCCAGTGTCTCAGCCGGCACAACCGTACTATTGGTGCGCGCTGTGCTGCAGCCTGCGTCGGGCTTGTTGTTGTCTACCCTCGGAGTGTCTCTTGATCACCCTTTCCTGCAAACCAGGTGCAGGTCTCCCTGCAGGAGGCCCTTGTCCCCAAGCACAGCACCACCTGCGTCTCAGCCGTCACACAACATTGCAGTCAAACGGGAATCAAGCAGGGCAGGAGTCAGGATTCGTTCAGAAGCCGGAGTACACCTGACTATGTATTGGGGTAGCCTCCGCCAACAGGGACAGCCCTGGCCAGTAGATCTGCCCAGTTGTTAAGTTGGGAACAAAGGTCCCAGTCCCTTGCATCTATCCCAGACCCCAGGCCTGGTCTGGACTTCAAATCCCAGCAGGCCAGGTTCTGACCCCTCCCTGGGTACTTAAGTGATCCCCCAAAAGAAGAACATGTGGTCTCCCTTTCTTCCTCCTGGGGGTTGCCTTTCTGCGGCTTCCCTGTTTCCCCCTCTAGGCCACCCGAGAGCGCAGATCTCCCATTAAACCTGGATATTTCTTAATTTGGCTTGTTTTGATTTGGCTTGATTGGGAATTTTTGTGTCATCAGGGAGCTAATATTAAAAAATATTCCTAACAGTTGTCAGGGGCAGATCTTGGAGTCCTGAATTAGAATCCCCACCTGCCTCCGTTCAGCTGGGAGCAGAAAGAGGACACCAGACACAGGCAGCAGACATCTCAAGGTGTGGCTTGTGCAGCTCTGACGTTTTCTCATTTATTTCAGCCTCTCTGCCTGATGTTGAGTTTCACTCATGAGTGAATTTTGTCGATTTTATTATCTTTCCTAGAGCTGCCTCCTTTAGGATCGCCCCACCCAAGGGCTCATCTAAGTGTAAACCAGCTAGGCAGGCACAGCTAATCAGGCCTGGCATACGTGAGGCAGGGTTGATATCCGGCAGTGCAAAGCCAACCAGCCAAACAACAGAGAGCAGCGAGGAGTCCGGCCTGACCTGTACATTCAAGGGCCCCGTTCTTTTCCGCCTAGGCTGAAGCTGGTGACAGTCGGCCTCCCGGGTTCTCCTTCCATAACGAGGACTGAATTTTCGCTGCCCCTCTCAGTTCCCTTGAGCCTTGGTTTGGCGTGATGCTTGGCATGTACAGAGAGAAAACAGAAAACAGAGGGGAGAGACAGATAGAGAGAGAGAATCTGAGAAGGGGGCCAGCCACTGACCACCACTTTCTACATGATTTTTAAAACTGAATTCTTTCACCGTTGAAGTGTTTCTTCTCTTTTTCTTCAGGAGTAGACAAGCCCTCGAGTAACAATCCCAGGCACCCAGAAAGGTGGCCCAGCCCCACAGCGTTTCTAAGCTTCATTCCTGTTTGCAAAATTTCTTAGGCCAGTGTGTTGTGAAAGCAGATATGAATCTGCATTTTTACGTGCCAGGCCTCGGAGGCTAGAGAGACGGCTCCGTGGGTAAGAATGCGTGCTGCATAAACGTGAAGACCCGAGCCCAGATCCCAGCGCCCACACAGGCAACTTCACGTGGCCGCTGTACCTCTAAACCCGCACTGCAGAGGGTGGAGACGGAAAGCTCACTCGGGCTGCTGGTTGCCAGTCTAGCTCCAAAGTGCAGTAAGAAACTGTCTCAGGGGAGTAAGGTGGAGGGTGATAGAGGAACCTGGTGGCCTTCGCTGATCTCCATTCAAGCATGAACACGTACACTTGTACACACGTGCACACACGTATGCATCTACGCACCATCAAGGGGGAAAAAGAAAGTACGAAGCCAAATGTGTCTATTTAATGGAGTAAGTTCCGAAGCGAGAGCGAAGGACACGAGGCTTTCCATGGCCCCAACCCCCAACCTAATTCTATGTTTCAGTTTCTCCATTTACATGGTGAAATTCACCGTCCACGGAGGAGCAGACAAACAGCACAACACCATGCAGGGGCATGGCTCAGCACAAAGGAATGAAGTGCCCGCACTTCCGGAGACGTGGGCGGACCCACAAGACACCGCGCCACGTGAGATGCCAGCCACAAAGCCCACACGCCCCATAATCCAGCTTGTCTAATGGACAGGACAGCTGATTACACACTGCCGGCAACAGAAGGGTAATTAATTAATGAAAATGTTCTTAAATTGTCGTGACGGCATTTGTATTCAAAACGGAAAAACACTAAAAATAATAACGGCAGGTACAGGTTACGTAATTAAATTACATGGTGTATGGAATCTATCTCATTAAGACTGACATGAAAACAAAAACATGGGATGGCAATGTAAAGGTTTTATTATTGTTATTGGAGAGGGTACACACACGCTACAGCACATGTGGAGGTCAGAGGTCGCCTTTGTGGCGTTGGCTCTCTTCTTCCACCATGTAGCTTCCAGGGATCAGCTCGGCAGCAAACACCTTTCCTCCCTGAGCCATCTTGACCGCCAGGAACACGAAGCTTGGTGCTGTGATGGTGGCCGGGGCTTGCGCCGCCTGCTCCAGCGCCAAGTCTCTTTTGCGTGACGTAGATCACAACGCCCTTTCTCCTTCAGACTGCAGAGGGGAGTTCCGGTCTCTAAGACCAGGATAAAGATTGTGAAGTCACGGTCTGTTGGGCGCGGCATTGTAAACACGGTAGGACTAAAGTCGCCGGTTTTGAGAGGAGCTGCTGGATCCGTGTCTTCAGTTTTGCCAGCTGGGGAAGCCTCGAGGGTTAGAGCTAAGTAGTAAGGATCCCAAGGGACACAGTCCCAACTTCACTAATGCCAACCGCTCAAATCCCCGGAGTCCCTTTGCTGGGCTTGGTGAGTGTACCGGTAACTCCAGTCCTTGGGCTGAGGCAGCAGGATGGTGAATCCAAGGCCAACATGGGCTACCGTGTGAGGTTATGCCATAAATAATTACAATCCTAAAAGATTAAAACCCTGGAAGGCAAACGTGCCCAAACATACAATTCCATTTTTTAAAAAGGCTTAAAAGAGGGGCAGAAAGCCAAGTTCTGGGGGAAGGGCTGAATGCATTTTGGGTTGATGTGGGATGGAAGCCTGGTGTGGACATTAGTGTGGGCATCTGAAGCAGAGACGGTCCAGCCTCGTGTCACGTACTGTTTAATCATCCAGGGCCCTGGAAAGAACAGACACAGAACGGCGAGTTGGTCTCTCTGGGAGCGGAAGCGCTTTCAACCTCAGGCTGAGAGTTGCATGGTTGGCTTTTCTGGTTCTAAGGCCTTTGGGTTTGGCTCCTCGAAGAGCTGCCTGTGTGGGAGTGACTCACAGCAGGTTTTGGACACCCCTCTCCTCCCCAGTGGTTTTGGATCCTAGCCTGGAGCTTCATGCTAGATAGGCAAGTGCCCGCCACTCAGCTGCCCGCGTTCCCAGCCTCTGCCCACAGCATCTCTTTGTCTGCAGCTGTGAGGCTGGACCAGCTCAGACGGCCCCACCAATGACTCCGTATGCATTTCAATTTTGGACCCATTTCTTTATGAACACCGTTTATCATTTCAAAACTGTTCTATCCGTGTGAGGGTTGTTACTAGGCCTGGATGTTTATGCTCGCAGAGATGTGTGTTATGTAAAGTCAAGTGGCCTATGGAGTGTTCTGTCATGTTTTTAATGTGCTTCAGATAAGTCCTCTCTTCATCACGTAATTATCTGCGTGTGGGGCACATAGCTGTAATTCTAGGACTTCGTAGGTGGAGGCGGGAGGATCAGGAGTTCAAGGCCAGCCTTGGGCCACCTAAGCTCTTATCTGAGAAACAAATTTAGGATTTCAACATTCACGGTTATAACATTCAGAGCTCTATGTTTTCTTCAGGATAATGGCCCTCCCCAGGCCCCAGCTGTCGATGTGGCAAGCCAGTGTCACAGACCGAATCAGGAGAGGAAGTAAGCTGTAATCACTTTTTCCTGGGGACTTGAGGCTACCCCTCTCTTGACAACCTGCCACCCCACTTCTTTCTAAAGAGTCTACAGGATGGCTCTGTAGGAAAAAAAAAAAACTAAACCAAAAATCACCTATTGTACAAAGCCCTATGACCTGAGTTTGATCCTGAGAACCCACAAGGTAGAAAGAACGGATCCCTAAAGCTGTTCTCCGAGTTCCACAGGAGCCCCCCGCCCCCCAGTACACATGACACATCCCAACACATGCTTTGAAACAGCTCTGAACCGAACCTCTCTGCACCACCACTCTGTATGTGTGTATGTGTGTGATAGAGTGTATGTACACATGTGTGTAAGAGTGTGTGTGTGCGTGAGAGTGTCTGCGTGTACATGTGTGTTAGTGTATGTGTGAGAGTGTATACGTGTGCCTGTGTGTCTGTGAGTGTGTGTGTGTAAATGTGAGTATATGCATGTGTATGTGAGTGAGAGTATACGTGCATATGTGTTTGTATGTGTGAGTGTATGTCTGTGAGAGAGTATACGTGCATGTGTGTTTTGTGTGTGAGTGTGTGTGAGAGAGTATACGTGCATATGTGTTTGTATGTGTAAGTATATGTGTGTGAGAGTATACGTGCATGTGTGTTTCTGTGTGAGTGTGTGTGAGAGAGTATATGTGCATGTGTGTTTGTGCATGAGTATATGTGTGTGAGAGAGTGTGCATGTGTTTGTGTGTATGTAAATGTATGTGAGTATATGTGTGTTTGTGAAAGTGTATGTGAGTGTATGTGTATGAGTGTGCCTCTGTGTGTAAGAGAGAGAGAGAGAGAGTGTGTGTGTGTGTGTGTGTGTGAGAGAGAGAGAGAGAGAGAGAGAGGGAGACAGAAAGAAAGAGAATGTATGTGCTCATGCACATCGAAGCCAGAGATCAACCTCAGGTGTCTTCCTTTCTTTCTTTCTTTCTTTTTTTTTTTTTTTGGCAGAGTTTCTCCATGTAACCGTCCAGGTTGTCCCCAGGCTGTGGTGGAACTAGCTCTTGTAGACCAGGCTGGCCTTGAACTCACAGAGATCCACCTGCCTCTGCCTCCCGAGTGCTGGGATTAAAGGCATGGGCCGCCACCGCCTGGCTAGGTGTCATTTCTTAAATACAATCCACCTCACTTTTTAAATATTATGTATTTTTATTGTATGTGTCTGAGTGTTTCCCTGCATGTGTGTGTGCACTACATGTGTGCCTGGTGTCCATGGAGGCCAGAAGAGGTCACTGAATCCTCTGGACCCGGAGTTGCAGGTGGTTGTGTGTCATCATGTGGGTGCTGGGTACTGAACCCTGGTCCTCTGTAAGAGTAGCCAGTGCTCCTAACTGCCAAGCCATCTCCCAGTCCTTTATTTCACTTTCTGAAAGAAGGTCTCTTACTGGGAGCTGGGGCTCACTGACTCAGCTAGGCTGGCCGTGTGGCCCAGGGATCCTGTCTACATCCCCAGCACCGGAGTTGTAAGACTGTGCCACCACACCAGGCTTTGTTTACGTAGGTCCTGGGGATCCAGCCCAAGCACCACAGTTGCGAGGCTGGCACTTTGCCAGCTGAGCTGGCTGTCTCTGCAGCCTTACCACTCAGGTTTTATACAGAAATAACAGCTGTGAGATGGTGGTTACAGCCTGCCGTGGTGGCTTTTTCCTGTAATCCCAGCCTCTGGAAGCTTTTCCCGAGGATTTCCAGGAGTTCAGGTCAGCCTGGGCTAGAGTGTGAGGCTCTGTCTCAAAAACAAATACAAAGCAAAAAAAACCTTTAGAATCTGACTGCTTTGAGTGATTCAAAGCCTGTGAATTTCCACATAGAAAATAAATCTAGTTTTACTCCCCACATGACAGGAATAAGGGTCATAATGGGTTAACAAAAGATCTGGACCACCCAGTAATCTGAAGTAGTGTAACTAAACTAGCTACCAACAACTTCTCCAGCCAGCAAAACTCCAGGATTCCCAATTAGTGTCTAGTACTTCCTGCCCCGGAAGCCCAGGAGCCTGGCAGCAGAAGCCTGACCCAGGATGAGGCTTCCCTTCCCTTTGCTTTCATACCCTATTATTGCTCGCTCACTGGGACACAGTGTCCAAGAGCTAGCACAACAATCACTCCGAACTTCCAAAGTCTCGAGACAATAAAATAAGGCGTTGTCTCAGGGAACTACGTGTACCACATAAAGCAGATCGTGTTTCCATCCCCTCCTCCCCTCACTGCCTCCAAAACAGACATCGGGAAAGTCAGGAAACCAACAGAGGAACAGGTAAACTCAACAAGTGTCTGCCCAGCCCTGGCGCCCTGTGTCAGAGACACCTTAAAAGATGTTTGGCTGGAGCCTGCTTTTTCTAACCATGATGCCACTTGTCTGATCCTGAGTCTGAAGCCCTGGAGCCGGTGTTTGCTCAAGGGCTGGTTTGAAGGATGGAGTAGCGTGGACTTGAAAGGCAATGGGAGGCTAAAAACCAGCAACAAGTCGCTAGCTGGGGTGGCTTTCCTCACCTGTAAGGTGGGAACGATACTCACTCTTACCTCAGATTTGCTGTAACAGGGTAACAAGGTTGTATATATGAATGAAAACATCATCTAGATTGTTCCTGTCCCTTCCGAGAAACCAAGTCTGTATCTCTTGTATCTCTTTCTTTCCTTCTGTTTTTTCTCTTTAACAATGTTATTTGTGTGTGTGTGTGTGTGTGTGTGAGAGAGAGAGAGAGAGAGAGAGAGAGATATGTGTGTATGTGTGTGTGTGTGTGTGAGAGAGAGAGAGGTGTGTGTGTGTGGTAATACATATGTGTACATCCACGCTCACACACAAGAGGCCAGAGGAGAATGTGTCCTGCCCCACTGAGAATGCTTGCCCCACTGAGCCCACGGCTAGCCTGGAGGCCCACCAGCTGCAGAGATCCTCCTGTCTCTTCCCCCATCTGACCCATGGGGTTAAAGACACACGCTTCACACCTGGGGTCTGGGGATTCAAAATCAGGTCCTCAAGCTTGCAGAGCAAGAACCCTCCCCTGTTTGGCCATCTTCCGGCCTTCTTTCTAGGGCTGTTGTTTTGTTTGTGGGTTTGTTTTTAGGCAGAATCAAAACAGTCCAAATTGACCTGAAACTCGCTCCAAAGCCCAAGTCTGGCCTTGAACTCCCTCAGCCTCTGAATGTGCTGGGATTACAGGCACTCACCTCCAAACCTGTCCCCAATTCTATTCCTTCTGAATGTGCTGGGATTACAGGCACGCACCTCCAAACCTGTCCTAATTCTGTTCCTTCTGAGTGTGCTGGGGTCACAGGCACGCACCTCCAAACCTGTCTCAATTCTATTTCTTATCCTTCCAGAGTTTTG